AAAAAGTAGAACAAACTTTTGTGCAGATCAAAAGCAAACTAAAATAGTATGCTATTTACTTGTGTTACACTACTTCCTAGTACAATTCTGTGCCAATGACATGCTATAGTGCAAAGCTATTAATAAGCATACTGGTATATATCTCATTTGAAGCATTCTAGACATATAACCAGGACATCTGAATGTATAAGCCTACATGCAACCAGATAAACAAAAAAAATACTGAATCTTAATCTATTCTGTCAAACTTCTACCATCAAAGGAATTGTAATCTTCTTGGCTTCTTGGATCATACACAAACAGGGCTACCTTCCCCCCCCTCCCCAATTTTACAAATTATAGATTCATTTTGCTGCAATATTATTGTCAACAGTATACTGAAACACTTAAGAACACTGAAATAACAGGTGCAAACTTGTTCCTAAAATGTTTACTGGGCCTAGAACGAGACAAAAATGAGTATCTGCAGGCTATCTCCTGAGTGCCTACATGGGCTTAATACAGTCATCTAATACAACTAATTCAAATTAGGACTAAACTACAAATTCAAAGAGTAAAATCCTTAGTCTCTTAGTCACAAAGGCAGATAATTTCCTGAAGAAACTTTTTACACATGATATTAAGAACAGAATAATTCTGCAATTACTTACACACTCGCCTTTCCACTCACTCTGGGCTTCAGCTGACATAATGTACTGAACAAAATTATGTGAAACAATTTATGGCAAATAACAGAGGGCACAAAAAGGAGAAGAAATATACAGAGATAATGAACTCCAGAAAAAGTATATCTACGACATATAAATTGGAATAAGAACTCACTCTGTCAAGCCTTAGCATCAGTGCCACATCTAGAAATGAGATTTAACTGCCCTGACTATAACTCCACACAAAAACCAGTGGCAAAGTGAAATAATAATTAGAAATTAGAAACAAATTGGTGATACTCATGATTGAAAATAAAAGTATGTGAAAAATCTGAAAGCCTAACAAGAATATAAAACAAACCAGAGATCATTACTATCCTTAATAGAGGAGAAACAGGTCTATTCACAATTTGTCTAGTTATCATACTACTATATATATTCAACAAAATGCCTAAATAAGAAAAAGACTTCAGAATGAATTCTTCTCTTCAATTCATATTACAATTACAAACATTTCCCAGCCTACAAATAAACTGCCAAATGAAAGATCAAGCAATACTTACAACTAATATTCCCTTAGAAAAAGAAAGAAAACCTTCCTTAAGCACTGTGCTACACCTCACACTATTGGTATATGTTAAAAAGGTTTTTGGCCCATTGATCTACTAGCCAGTGCAATACTTTGAATGACATCAGTGTGTTTAATGAACTGCAAAGAATGTTTAACTGTTTTCTTCTTAATTAGAAGATTCTTTCAACACTTTCAGGAAAAATATCTTGCTTTCGCATACTCTGAACCAAGTTGAATCAGTTAAAGTTTCAAAGTGGGTATGCCTTTTTAAACTATATAGTTATATTACTTCAAAAATAACAAGCAAACAATAAAATAAAACAGTGACATATCTTTGAAATCATACACTCATGAAAAATAAAATAACCAAAACTTCCACACATGGAAAAATAAACACCCTCTGAAAAAACTGTTTCATGAACATACACACATTGAAAGACTGCATGATGGTGGAAAATTTCCCCTGTGGCAGATTGTAGTTCTAAGAACCTGTCACACATAGGGGTGTACGTTTAAAGATTCCACTTTAGGATGACAGGTTTTATATATTTCCTTGTGTCACAATTCTTATTGTAAATGTTAAGCAAATTGTATTAACGTTTATCTAAAATATAATTAAACCCTGTGATGGCAAAGACAAAAAATATATATAATCAAGCAAGTTCTGGCAGGATAAAACTTCATCAATCTATCAACTCCATCTACTGTTTAATAATCATACATAGTTAAATCTAAAAAGATTATTATATCATTTACATTACAGGAATTACCAAAGTATTTCCCTGTAATAATTTTCTGGGATACAGACATCAAAATCTTTGAATTACTAAAGAGCTAACTACTTTTACCCCCTCAAAAAAATAATGATAAACCAAATGATCAACTCCCATTAACTCATTAGAAGCAGATGGCATGATTACATGCTGTGTACATTGTAATTTTAGCTTATTAATTGTGTTTACCCAGAGATGACTCCGTAAGTGCTTAGTCACCAAGGAGACAAGTGTTATATTATTGTTATTGTTATTTCAATATTACAATAACCATTATGTCAATAACAATAATAAGAGAAATGAAATTAATAGCAATATAAAAAAAATCACATATTCAAGGAGTATGGAAATCAGGTGCAGTCACTAGGGCATACTAATTGCCTCCTTAGTAGCTAAGCATTTGTGGAGACATATGTGTGAAACAAAATTCACAAAAGACTACAGTAGACAGTACCTTGCATTGCAACTAATGGGTTAAACTACAAGAAAATGTCAACAAATTAACCCAAATCTGATGGGCATGGTACGTACGTACATGCCATGCCCACTATGAGTTTACTTTATTAATTGTTTTTACAGCTAGATGGCTACACTTGTACTCAGTCACCAGTGAGCCAATTACAAGTACTGCCTATCTTGTCTGTTTATCCTTTTCCTTGATTTTCAAAAATATATTAGGTTATCTTCTATCGCTGTTACTAATGTCTATAACATTATAGTAATTATATGTCCCATATACAAATAACATCATCAAAATTCATAGCATTAGTAAATAAAAGTTTTCCCTAAACATTTAGATGCTATATTATAATGTGGCACTTTTGCATAAAGTAAAAATATTTATTTTGCTACAAATGGTTATCTGCAATATGGCATTTAAAGCTTGTATTAATCATAGTCCAGTATGCTCTACCAGGTATATCTGGATTTCACTAAAGCTATACTATCTTTACTAAACTGGACATTATATAGAAAAGCATCTACATACTTGAAACACCTGCAAATATTTTTTTTTACTTTTTGGTATAGATTCCATAGTAAACTTTATCAGGTGTGTATTGTGTAATGGGCTGGAATCATCATACTATTTTTAGCTACCAAGAGTTAAGCAGCACTTATTATCAATTGATGAGGAGACACAAGGTGCTGACAACACATATGGTCAATTGAATGTCTTTTCCCCCCCATTATAAAAATTAACTTTATGCACCAGACTTTCCTCTGTTGCCAATGTTAAATTTTACACAAGGTAAACAAAATGCATAAGTTAATCATCAGGCATTTCAGAAGCCACTTAGAAATCAAGGACACACCCAGACCCTCAGCTTCCCACCCCTTAAAAGGGGAAAGCAAAACTGAGAAATGCTAGAGGAGAGTGGTAACACTAGAGTGGCAGCAAAGAAATATAACTGGATAGACAAATTTTAAATGGATAATAATAGGGGTGTGTATGAGAGTGAAAGTGATCAAAATAGTAGTGATGATGAGGATGACTATATTACACATGATGCACCACCACCAATGAGGTAATACCACCTGAGCACTTTATACAATTTACAGATTGCTATAACCTTTTTTTCTGCCTACAGATACAACTAAAAAACATGAGTGTGTGGCCTCAGGAGGTATTTGATGTGCTTATGGACATGTGGACATGTATAAACATGTACATGAAAAAGAGAGAGAGAGAGAGAGAGAGAGAGAGAGAGAGAGAGAGAGAGAGAGAGAGAGAGAGAGAGAGAGAGAGAGAGAGAGAGAGAGAGAAGAGAGAGAGAGAGAGAGAAAGAGAGAGAAAGAGAGAGAAAGAGAGAGAAAGAGAGAGAAAGAGAGAGAAAGAGAGAGAAAGAGAGAGAAAGAGAGAGAAAGAGAGAGAAAGAGAGA